TATAGAAATAACTACCCGCTAAAACAAGGAATACTTCTATAATTATATTGACCCTTTCCAACTAAAATAATGGATAGAATAGTTAAGTGGTTGTTTGACATTTTTTAATTTATTTTATGGTTTGTTATAGGACCATTTTCAATCATACATTAACACAATAAAATATTCTACATGTATATTAAAAACTTTTTTCTATCTTTTAATCACATATTCTTCTAAAAATCACTATTCAAAACTCCGTTTTCTACCAAAATGGTGTCAAACGGGCACTAAATAAATAACATTAAAAAAAAAAAAATTAGGGCATGTTCTCTTTACCATTTTCAAGTCGTTTTCTGTTTTTGATTTTCCAAAACAGTGCAAACACGTTCTCTTTCTTATTTTCGAAAACGCGTTTTTGAAAACAAGTTGTTTTCGATTTTCCAAAACAGTGAAAACGCTTTCTCTTTCCTATTTTCGAAAACGCGTTTTTGAAAACAAGTTAAAAATTTACAAAGAAAATCCAAAACGATAAATTTGTGTCGTTTTGGGTGTTTTCAGTTATAATCAAGTCAAAATTTTCAAAACGGGGTTTTGGGTGTTTTCAAAACAATTTTTCAAAATGTCAAAAAGAACACATTTTCAACAATCTTAAAATTGACACTTAAACACAAAATCCAAAATGAATTCAAAACTCAAAACACAAAACTGAAATACAAAGAGAACAACCCTTAAACATTTGTGGAATTCTTTCTTCCTTGAAAGTTGAAAACATCCATTGTCCTCGATGGTAAATTTTTTTCGCTTCCAAAACTTATCAAATATATAAGGGAAAGCTTATCAAATAAACCACGTGTATGGAGTATATTTACAATTTAAGTAGTGTATTTTCATCTTCCGTTAAAGAAATTTAGGGATGTCACTAAAGGACCGTTTGACACGACTTTTGCTTTTAGAAAAATAGTTTATGCAAGAGTATTTTAATTTTTATTTGGAAACTAATTTTTAAAATAATTTCATATTTCGAAAGTACTTTTTGAGTAAGTAACATTGGACTAGCTTCCTCTAAAAATATTTTAACTAGAAGGAGCATTTTAAAAAATTTGTCAAACAGATCCAAAAATAGATTTTGGGTTAATAGCTTAAACATACTAAATTACCCATATTTGCATAATTATAAATGACACCCTATATATATAACATTTGGTAACAATTTACGTTCCTTTTTTTTCTTGAAAGTTAATAACCTAAATTGCTTTCCTCCTGAAAAATGGGAGCTCTATTATGGGGCAAATAAAATATGGAAGTTAATAATTTTTAACAAATTATTAGTTTGATTTTCTTGAACCCAATTTGTAACTGGAAATCTCTTGGATGGCGAAAAATATCAGGAACTCGAAGGAATAGTCACAAGCTTTTCCATAGAAAAAAGAAGACCCACTTTTACTCCATAGCAGTGAGTATATCACCTGTATCGAAATATTTCCCTTTCAATAGGCTGCTAGCATAGAGTTCAAACGGTTTAATCATTGCACCAGACATGTGTTACCTTACATCGTTACACACGATTGAGTTCTTTTGACTAGGGACTATATGACACTGGATTATTATAAGAACGGGGTGAAAATGAGTGCATCGTGTTCTCATTATTGTCATCTACCTTCAAAAATTAGGGACAACGAGGCTAGGACCAAGATGGACGGAGGCATCAAATGGACGACGAGCAGGGTTGAGTAGCGACCAGGTAAGTGATGACAACCAACAAGAAGGAGCTGACATGAAGATGCAATCGAATTCAAAAGTTGAGGACTGCATGTGCAAATTAGAGAACAAAAGCCTCACTCATAACTCATTAGTTGTAACGTTAAAAAAAGAGACCCGCTCATGTGCCTAGAAATGTCAATGTGACTTGCGGACTCGGGCGGCCAGTGGCTCAGTCCCGAAAAGCCCGAGTTGGGCTGACTCGTGGCTCAGTAGAACCGAGCCGAGGCTCTAGGTCGAGCCCCATTTTGGGGTGTCGATTAGAGCTCGAGCCAACCCTACTCGTCGATTAGAGCTCGACTCGACTCGTCTCGTGGACACCCTACTCGTCATGCGCTGAACGTCTCTCACACTCAGCGCCCACAAATTCCCCCGAATGCCTTCTCTCACGTCCGTCTGTTCTCCTCCGTTTCCGTCAGCCCTAACCCTAACGCCGTCCATGGCCTCTTGTGAAGACGATTTTCCCCTTCTCGACAACCACCAAAATCCTGATCCCAACCAAAGTTCCACCAACACCCAAACGCCGCCGTTTAGCGTCAATCCTTACGATCAAGACTCCGATCTGTTTGATTCCGAACCCGATCCGAGTTCCCCACCCGGTAAACGCGCAGCCGAACGCGGTGACATTAACAACGGCTTGTCGAAACGGATGAGACTGCCCTCCGCCTCCTCTTCCGCCGGTGATTACAGGAAGGACAGAGAAGAATGGAGTGACACGGCCATTGCGTGTTTGTTGGAGGCGTATACTGACAAGTTTATGCAGTTGAATAGGGGAAATTTGAGGGGAAAGGACTGGGAGGAGGTGGCGGCGACGGTTAGCGAGAGATGCGATAAGCAGAGCAAGAGCGTTGATCAGTGCAAGAACAAGGTAGATAATTTGAAGAAACGATACAAATTGGAGAGGCATCGGTTGAGCAACATTGGCGTCTCGGCGAGTCACTGGCCTTGGTTCCAGCAGATGGAGCTGATTGTTGGGAACAGTATAGCGGCCAAAGCTGCAGCGGATGAGGAAAAGAACTCCGTCAGCGGTGGATCCTCTATATCTACTAGGCAGCAAAAGAGGTATTTATGAACAATAGAGCTGATTAATTGGAATTGCATTTTAATCTGCGCTGTCAATTTCATTTTCTTTACAATCTATCTACCTGTTACTGTTTTGAGAAATTGGTGTTTTATGATCTTTTCTAATGAACCGAATGTCTGTGGTAAAATTTGAGGAAAATTGTGGTTCTGTTTTCATGTTGCGAGAAGAAACTAGTCATAAAGAAAACTTCTTTGTTTGAAGGTTTCAGTAGGCTATATGTTATGTATGTTTGGGAATTCAGTTAAGTTCTATATGTTTGGACATTTTCATAGAAGAATGAACAAATTTTTAACTGGGTGAAAAAAACAGAACTAAAAAGGGTAACTGACTGTTCAGTGACATAACATGAAACTTGGCTGTAAATTGAGTGATTAACAGTGCTTCTAACCCATTTAGTTTATGATATTTGGATCTTAGTTGTTCCGTGGTATAGTTTATACTTCTTGACTTTGGAATTTAAGATATTAGTTGCCTTAGATATATTGGATGATTTTCTGATAAATTTTGTGACTTCTTTCTTTTCTATATTGATCTAAAATATTCTGTGTGGGCAGACATGCAACAGCAACTGCAAGTCCCAGTAGCCAGATTGTGACCGTTAAGTCAAAACCATCAACTAATCTTAGGTGGCGAAGAGTAGTGTTCAAAATTAGTGGTGCTGCTCTAGCTGGTACTGCTCCAAACAATATAGATCCAAAGGTTTAATGCTAACTGCATTTTCTTTTTGTTTCTCTTCTGTTTTCCCCCCTGATAATTGGATCCAATTTGCAAGCTACCTGGAACCTGGTGAATCAAGGGATCATGAAATTTGTCAACACAATAAACTTTGATTTTGAGTTGTGGTGAAGTCATCTTGTGAGTAGATAGTAATCTTTGTACATGTGAAGAGCGACTTGATAATAGATAAACTCATTAAGAGAATCTGTGAGAGTCCATGCCTCCAAGGTACTCTTTTGCTACTAAAAAGATGGGATAGTTACTGTCATTTCCTGATCTATCTGGCTGTTTCTATCAGAGAAAAATGAATATGCATTTCTCATTTTATTCTTTTCTTTATCTATATTTAAACCATCTTTTTAAATAATTTTCTCAAAACTTTTTCTTCTTTCGTATCAAAGAGCATTGCTTTTTAGCTTGAAGAAAGCTATTTTTTCCTACTTTTTTTTTCAACGTGGTTACATCTCAATATATATATTTTTTACTTGATTATTTTCTATTTTAAGAAAAATGAACAAAATATATCCTTATTTTTATTGTATATGATATGATTTCGTTTTGATGTATTATATATTTTGAATACCGCAATATTATAAATATGAAGATATATTTTGAGCTTTGGTCAAATTATTACAATCCATCTCTATTAGCTCAAATTATTACAACTGATTTCTATCATCTTCCCTTTTTTTATTCAAATTATTTGCTCTGAATCTTTTAAATTTATTTTAACAACATTAGCAAATTGTAAATATTTAAAGAGAAATACAGTGATACGAAGAAAACTTGTGAAAGTTTAAAAATGGATTGTTATTACATGAGCAAACTCAAAATATATCTTTAGTTATCCTACTACTGCATTTGTAAGTATGCTGCGAAATGAGTTGTTATCACTTTCCTTCTCTAATCCACAGTAGCTTCCCTCTAATCAGAGACATAATGTACTTACTTGCACTTCGCATTGCCAACTTTGTAGTCTAGCATATATTTCTTAAAAATGATTAATTTATCTCGTGACTGGTAATTCCTTGAGTTTGATTAGGTTTTATTTATTTTTTTATTGTAATTGTAGGTAGCCATGCTGGTTGCAAGAGAAATTTCAATAGCTTGTCGCTATGGTGTTGAGGTATTAGTTAACTTGCTTCTCATTTGCAAGTCGGGATTTTGGTGCCTTTGAATTTTATAAACCGTGGATATCTTCAATTTTTAGGTTGCCGTAGTTGTTGGTGGCCGTAATTTCTTTTGTGGAGACACGTGGGTTACATCCACTGGGTTGGATAGGTGTACTGCATATCAAATTGGGTATGTTTCTTGACTTGAAGTTATACATCATTATAAATTATAACTTGAATTTAGTTATTTCTTTACCTTATTAGATTATGAAATGAATTGTAGTGTATATCTACTTATAGACACCTATGCAATTAGAATTTACCATGCAATCTGAAGTCTCCTTCACTTGATAAACCACAGGCATATGATTTTTGGTGTTTGTAAGTGTGAGAACGTTGAGTTTTGGGATCCAACTACAGCATTTCCAAGAACTCTTTTTGAAAAAAATATTAAAGATAAAAATGTAACAATTTCATAGTATGCTCATCTTCCTGATCACATTGTATAGTGGACAAATTTTAGGAACTTGGTTAGTTTGGAAGCTACCCCATATCCATCTACAGGAACTTTCACTTAAATTAGGAACTTGGTTAGTTTCGAAAAAGTAAAATGAACACGTACGGGACACGTTGATTTAAATTATTTAAAATTTTAAAATTCATGTAATATATTTTTATTCATATAATTTTATTATAGGGGTGGTTCTGAAGTATCCCCAACTGTGTGCAATTTAAAGGATATATAAAAAATTGGTCTAGAGCATGTAGCTTGTGGGATACATGTCGGGGTCCGACACGTGTTGGACATGGACATGTTGTTCTCTAAGCTTTCCAAATGCTCTAGTTTAATTTTGAACTATACGATCCTCCTGCATTACAATTCGCCTATTTTTTTTTTTCATAGCCAATCTCATGCTCGAATATAGGAAGATTGTTTGGGAATAATGGTTAGTTTGCTGTGCCTTGTGCAACTACAACACTCCCCTTTTGCTAATATGAACCTTTCAGTCACCAAAGCATTTCTGACTCGGCCTGGCCATCAAATGCAAGAAAGGATTTTTGTTGATACTTGAGTTGATAAAATACATAATTAATTTGGACAGTTTATATTATGCAACTGAAAAATTTATACAGCCTTTGTTACGGTAGTTTTGTTTGTTCACTAGAGGCACACAGCCTTCCTCATCTGAAAATATGAGGAGCCTCAAACTTAAAGTAGATAAATTAATAAATTAATACATCACTAAACTTAAAAGTAGATAATTAATACATCACTAAAGGGAAGTGCATGTCATCGTGGTTAATCTGTTCTCAAGCTAGCTGACTGATAATATTCTTATTTTAACCAGAATGATGGCAACGGTGATGAACTCAATACTGCTACAGTCGGCTTTGGAGAAATTGGGTGTGCAGACACGCGTGCAGAGTGCATTAAATATGCTAGAAGTTGCTGAACCATATAGTAGACAACGAGCCATCCGACATCTTGAAAAAGGAAGAGTTGTAATATTTGGTGGTATTGGAGCTGGGACAGGAAATCCACTCTTTTCTACTGATACAGCTGCAGCTCTTAGAGCATCAGAAAGTATAGCGTTGATTTACAATTTAAAAATCTTCTTGATTTTTTTCATGTTCTGATAGAGATTTCAAACCTTGATTCATTCAGTTCATGCGGATGCCGTCCTGAAAGGAACAAACATGGACGGTTTTTTTATTTGCAACCCTAGAAATAACAATATTGCGGCAGAGCACATTTCCTTCCGGGACTTGGCTTCTAGAGCTGCATCTCCAATGGACATGATGGCTATGACATACTGCGAGGAGAATGGGATTCCAGGTCTGTTACTCATTTCGTGCTTCAAGTCCAGATCAGTCCAATCCAAAACCACCCACACCCCACCGCGCACAAACTTACATAAACTAACGTTTTATGCATCTTGTACCTGTCTCTGGCATTCTCATCTGTGCTTTAATGAGAGCTGTTTAATCCTGCATAGATTCTTAATGGACATGCTATACTTTATTAATTTTATTCTTTCTGGCAGTTGTCGTCTTCAATCTTCTTGAGCTGGGAAATATATCAAGGGCATTATGTGGAGAACAGGTCGGTACACTGATTGATCAAACAGGGCCTATTGGTTAGTGCTTGGGGACTTCATTATCTGGCTTACAGATTTATATGGCATTTGAACCTGTGATTTCTTGGAAAGTCTGTTCAAGTAGCATCCATATAACAGAGTGGGGTTCAAATCGACTGCTCTTCGATGAAAGCTGTTTGTAAAATACGTGGACGTGGTAAACTTGTTAATAATTTTATACTGAATGAATTAGGTAACTGCTGATGGGTAAAATTCCTGATCTTATACTAAATATGAAAGGAAACCTCTCAATAATATCATCTGGCGTCTTACAATAAGACGCGTAGTAAAATTGGTTTACGTCTCGGAAAGGTGAGTGGAGCTAATCTTTTACTTGTCAAGTAAAGGAATTCTAGTTATATTCTTTGGGAGGCCCGACATCTCAATTTTAGTTTCAGTGCTTTTTTTCTTTTGTACTGACATTATTCTAGTTCTTCCTTTCATAAATCATAATTGGGCCCAGAAAGTTCTCAACTGAAAGAGAACCTTTTTTTTTTTTTTGATGCTCTAGTACTAGTAATTGAATGTTGTGCTAAATGTAAATAATTGCCTTTCATTAAACTGAAAATTCGAAACAGTTTTGAAACATTGTGTTAAAATGTAATATTTGACAGCCATATGAAGTACAATTATGTGGTGAAGAATAACTCCTCTCTCTCTCTCTAGGAAAGTGAAGATTTCAGGTTCTAAAAGTATATAATTACATGCAAATACAAGTCTCCATGAACTTGAAAGAGACCAAGAGTGTCCTTTTTATCAAGCATTCAACATATATTTGAGATAATACAGCAGGGTGATAATTTGTCTACGGAGAAGTTACTCTTTTAAATATCTTCAGAAGCACCTCAAAATCTAGGAATTGCATCAGGGAACATGCCATCTTCTCGAGCATTCAAAAGAAACTTAAGATAAACAGCATGGCATATAACCAGGGCCATAGCGTCGTTACGGAGAAGTTGCTCAAAATATCTTTAGAAGCATCTCAATATCTAGGAACTGAATCACGGGATATGCTAGGTGTGCAATGTCTTATGGATGAGTGAAACTCTACATTGGTAAGCGAGCACTTTGCCCATTTCTGTGACCAAAATCGCTTTGATTTGTTCGACCAGATGGGGAAGGTCGGTCTGTTTGAAACAATTAAGGTAGTCATAGATTAAATCTTTTGGAGATCCTGACATTGATACTGATTTTTTTTTAACAGTAGCTTTTTTGTTTTACAATAAGACTTGGTGTACCGGGTCAAGGTGTCAAACACCCTGACCGGCCCCTCACATCAAGGGGGGCCCCACATTTTTTTTTTAATTTTTTATACATGTAGGGTCAGCATCACGTGAGAGTGTGTCAATTTTTTTGTTAAATTTTTTTTTGTACAAGTAGCTTTTTTGAACTCTCAAATTGTGTCGCCGTGTTGAATTGCTCGGGTGGTTTTTTCATTTCATTTCTGTTTGCCGACCTTGTGTTCAAAAGGAAAAT